TGGATCAGGGTTGTTGGCAAGCTAAGAAGAGGGAATAGCCTGCCCATTTCGGATGACGACCTGGAGGTCAGCCCCACATTATTTCTGAACGAAAGCTTGGAGAGGATACTCAATTACCAAACAGGCTGTGTTTGGCTCTCCAGTGTCTCTTTCTAGGAGCTCTATTCCTTCCTGATCTGATCCTTCAGCATGACCCAGTGGCAGCTGATCTGTGGACACACATGTGGCCCTTTGAGCAAGCTGTAAATTACTTTGAGTCACATAAGCCCCTTCTGAATTGTCCAAATTTGGTAAATAACTTACCTACTCTAACTTATCCTAAAGATAGGGTCAATATATGCCAGTAGGTATTTATTAGGCACCCACTGTATGCCTGGACTTCGGTAGCTACAAGAATTATGCTACTCTTTCATCCTGCAAGAATGTAACGAGATTTACTATTTGCAGGAAAATTAAGCATGTTGCTAAGGAGAAGTTAAAAAGGCAAAGTTTATTATAAGAGACAATACTGCTCATGTCCAAAGCCTGGAGTCTGAAGACCTGAATTCAAATTTTGACTTTATAACTTCCTAGCTGTGTAATGCAGGTGGTCTACTTGCTCTGTATGGTAGTTTATTTTTGAAAGTATAGGTGATGTTACTTTATAGAGTTGACATGCATGCAGACTAAAAACAGTTTGTAGTAATTCTGCCTAATATCATTGTAAGAGCCTCTAAGAGAAGTCACTCTATTCTTCAAAAATTTTTTTTCTCAGTTTTTTTGAGAAATAAATGACATCACTATGTAAGGTCAAGGTATACAGCATGATGGTTTTTCTTTTTTTCTTGAAATATGGTTGATGTATAGTATCTTCATTTCAGGCATACCATATAGTAATTCAACACTTATATCCATTATGAAATGATCACCATGATGTCTAGTTACCATCAGTCACCATACAAAGTTATCACATTATTATTGACTGTATTCCCCGACAGCATAATGGTTTGGTTTACATATATTGTGAAATGACTACTCAAATTGCTTCAGCAAACATCCATCTGACAGAAATATGGTAAAAAAGAAGAAAGAACAAAAAAAGGGGAAAAAATTTCTCCTTGTGATAATAATTCTTAGCATTTCCTCCTATGTCATACACCAGTGCTAGCTAGTCATCACAGTGTACATTATATCTCTAGTGCTTAGTTATCTTATAACAGGAAGTTTGTACCTTTTGACCACTGTCCTACTGTTCCCCCTCCCCCAATCCCTGCTTCTGGTAATCACAAGTCTGATCTCTTTTTCTATGAGTTTGCTTGTTTCTTTTAGATTCATGTATGTCTTTTTCTGACTTATTTCACTTAGTGTAATACCTTTAAAGTCCATCCATGTTGTACCAAATAGCAAGATTTCCTTTTTTTAATGGTTGAATAATATTTCATTGCATATATATATGCACCAAAATTTTTATATATATATACCAAAATTTCTATATATACCAAAATTTCTTTATCCATTCATCTATTGATGGACATTTGGGTTGCTTGTGTGTCTTGATTATTAATGAAGAATGCTATGATCATGGGGGCTCAGGCATCTCATCAAGTTAGTGTTTTGATTTCCTTCAGATAAATACTCAGAAGTGGAATTGCTGGATCATATGGTAATTCTAATTTTAATTTTTTGAGGATCCTCCATACTGTTTTCCATAGTGGCTGCACCAATTTACCCACCAACAGTGTGTGAGGGTTCAGTTTTCTCCACATGCTCGCCAACATTTGTCATCTCTTGTTTTTTTGATGATGGATGGCTATTTTAACAGGCATGGAGGTGGGCTCGTTGTGGTTTTAATTTACATTTTCCTAGTGACTAGTGATGTTCAGCATCTTTTCATGTACCCATTGACTTTCATATATCTTCTTTGGAGAAATGTCTGTTCAGGTCCTTTACCCATTTTTTTGATTGGGTTATTTGGTTTTTCGCTCTTGAGTTGTAGAGGTTCTTTATATGTTTTGGATATTAACCCTTTAACATGCCTTGGAAGTACTTTTTTCCCATTCTGTAGGTTTTTCTTTTTACTTTGTCGATGGATTCTTTTGTTGAGCAAAAGCTTCTAAGTTTGATTTGGTCCCAGTTGTTTATTTTTGATTTTGTTGCTTGTGCATTAGGTGTCCTATCCAAGAAATCATTACTAAGACCCATGCCAGGGAGCTTTGTTCCTTGTGCTTTCTTGTAGGAGTTTCATGGTTTTAGGCATTGAATTTAGGTCTTCTGTCTATTTCAAGTTAAGTTTAGGTGGTGAAAGATACAGTGTAGGAGTGCTGACAATACTGACTCTATCTTTGGCCCTCCTTGTTCATGTCGGCACAATGACATGGAGGTTAATATATGCCCTCCCCGGAATGCAGGAAGGCTGGTTTTGAACTTCTCTCTGGCACGCAGATGGCACCACTTTAGATAGCTACCCTTTGACCTCACCATGATGCCCCTCACTCTATAAAAGCTGTGGACTAAAGTCTGCACTTTGTGGAGAATAGCTGCTACTGGGTCATCTATTCGTCCAATCCCACTGTCAGTAAGTTACCCTGAATAAAACTGTGTCAACAGTATGGAGTGGCTTACTTTCCTTTTTGGTCTCAAAGGACCTTCTCAATTTGGAAGATGTATTACTGTCCCTCCTCCACTTTCTAATGTATGGGTTCCATTTCATTTGTTTAAATATTTGAATATCCAATTATCTAGCAACATTTATTAAAGAGATTGTCTTTCTCCACTGAGTACCCTTGGCTCTCTTGCCAAATATTAGTCAACCATATAAGCCTGGGTTTATTTCTGGGCTTTCAAATTCTATTCTAGTGGTCTATTTGTCTATTTTTATGCCATTACTATCTGGTTTCTATGAGTATAGCTTTATAGTACAGCTTGAAGTTAGGCAGTGTGATACCTCCTCCTTTGTCCTTCTCAATATTTCTTCAACTATTTGGGGGTCTTATGTGTTTCCACATAAATTTTAGTTTTTTTTTCTATTTTAAAAAGTGCCATGGGAAATTTGATAGGGATTGCATTAAATCAAAGGATGGCTTTGGTAGTACTGACATTTTAACAATATTAATTCTTCCAGTCTGTGAAAACAGAATAACTTTCCATTTATTTCTATATTCTTTAATTTCTTTTTTCAGTGTCATGTAGTTTTCAGGTTAGAGCTCTTTCATCTCCTTATAAATACTTATTCCTAAGTATTTTATTATAAATGAAATTAATTTCTTTACTTCTTTTAAAGAAATTTTGTTGTAGTATATAAAAACACTACTGGTATTTTTGTATCAGTTTTGTATCAATTTTGAATCCTGCAAATTTACTAAATTCATTGATAGATCTAACAGTTTTAATGCAAATATTGTGTTTTTTTTAATCGTGTCCTATAATTCTCATAGGCTTTCTTCATTCTTTTTCATTTTTTAATTTTTGCCCTTCTAACTGGGTAATTTCCCATGTCCTGTCATGCAGGTCACTGATTCTTTCTTCTGCATTGTCAAATCTACTTTTGAAATTCTATCAAATTTATATTTTTTAACTTGAGAATTTATTTTTTATGGTTATTATTTCCTTCAAACTTCTCATTTTGTTCATGCATTGTTTTCTTAATTTTGTTTACTTGTCTGTGTTATCTTATAGTTCACTAAACTTTCCAAAGAGGATTATTCTGAATTCTTTGACTTGCAGTTCACAGGTATCCATTTCTTTTTTTTTCTTCCAGTTTTTATTTAAATTCCAGTTAGTTAACATACAGTGTAAATATTAGGTCCAGAGGGCAGCCCAGGTGGCTCAGTGGTTTAGCGCCACCTTCAGCCCAGGGTTGGTGCTGAAGACCTGAGATTGAAACCCCTTCAGGCTTCCTTCATGGAGCCTGCTTATCCCTCTGCCTGTGTCTGTGCCTCTCTCTCTCTCTCTCTCTCTCTCTCTCTCTCTCTCTCTGTGTGTGTGTGTGTGTGTGTGTGTCTCATGAATAAATAAATAAAACCTTAAAAAAATATATTAGGTACAGTATAGAATTTATTGATATCCATTTCTTTAGGGCCGGTTATTAGAGCTTTACCAGTTTCCTTTGGCGGTGTCATATTTACCTGATATGTGTGTGTGTGTGTATGTGTGTGTATGTAATCCTTATTTCTTTATGTTGGTAATGGGGCTCCTTTTCCAGACTTTACAGGTTTTCTTTGGCAGAGTTAGTTTTTTTTTTTACCAGTTAGCTCAGTTTGGGTTTCCAGGTGTGTCTTCTGGTAATATCTTTGGGCAGGTGAGACCTGCTATTGTCTATTTTTGGGTGAGGCAACTGTTTGAGCTTTAATGATGGAGAAAGGGGGGTGTGCCACTGGTTGAGCACAGTTGTATAGGAGTACTGGCTTGGCTCCTTACCCAAGTAGGCTGTAGGATAGGTCCCACAGTTGCCTGAATTCTTTGGTCGGGGTTACTAGCTGGTTGGGACTGGGTACTATATTCAATAGCAGTTGAGGCTATAAATTAGCATCCCAGCCCTGGGAGGACAATAGGCCAGGGCCCAGGCCTAAGCAGCTTGTTGTTTGAGGACCTGAGTCAGGCCTGAGGGTGCACTGAATCCCCTGGTCAGGTGAACCCACCAATTTTTCTCTGCAGATGAGGGAAGCCACCAGCTATGCTGTTCAAGTGCCACTATATGTAGGGCTGTTGAATGTGCCCTGCAGCTTCATGTGCACTCTGGTTAAATTCTCGTCAGACAGGCTAAAGGCTATATTCAGTGATGAGTGGGGCTATGAATTAGATTCCCTGCCCAAGTGTGGTGTAAGCAGCTCTATAGCCAGTAAAGCTCTTTGTTGTCTTAACTCAAGCCGAGTTGCATCCTGAGTTCCCTGGCCAAACAGGGCCAACTGGCTTTGCTCTGCAAACCATTGGCTCTGTCTGCCCTACTCTTGACTCAAGCACCACTGGGCTATACAGCTCTCAGTTGTTTTCACCAGTGTTCTGATTTGATGGGGCCAGCAGACAACATGGCGGCCTCCATGCTGGGCTCTCTGCTGCGGACCGTCCGGCAGATGGTTCCTTCATCAGCTTCAGGCCAAGTTCGAGGTTATTACGTGGACTGGAAAATGTTGCGTGATGTGAAGAGACGAAAAATGGCCTATGAATATGCAGATGAGAGGCTATGGATCAATTCACTCAGAAAGAATACCATCTTGCCAAAAGATCTTCAGGAAGTGGCTGATGGAGAAATTGCCGCCCTTCCCCGGGATAGCTGTCCTGTCAGAATCCGAAATCGGTGTGTTATGACATCCCGTCCACGTGGTGTAAAGCGACGCTGGAGGCTTAGTCGTATTGTCTTCCGTCACTTAGCAGACCACGGGCAGCTGTCCGGGGTCCAGCGAGCAGTATGGTAACCGGCTTCTGAACCTTCTGAGCAGGGAAACCAGTTCTGGCAAGAAGAGACCTCTCTGCTCGGGGAAAACCTAGTTTCACAGGGGTGCAGCATGGGAGTCTGCTCTGCCTGATGCTGCCTACGGTTAAAGTACTTTTTAACTTCAAATGAAGAAATTTGGATGTTTCATTCTGTCTGTGAATTCCAGCTATCTGGGAATTATCTTTTCTCTTGGACTTAAAAATGAAACACACTGTTTCCATGCATGGTACAAGGAGTAGAGTAATAAAAAAATATTCTGTGAAAAAAAAAAAAAACAAAAACAACAACAACAACAAAAAAAAAAACAAAAAAAACTCTCCACAGCTGGTAGGGCTATGTTTCAGCCCCCTTGCCTGGGTAGGAGGAAAGGAGCCATTCCAGGCTATCCTCAACTTCCAAAATGGGCTGTCTGGTGGGGAGGGACCAGGAGCTACTCTCAGCCTTGGCTGTGAATGAATCCCCCTGCCCAAATATAGCACAGGAAACCTTTACACTTGGTACTGGCTGTGCTCTGGAGGAGACCAGCTCTGTTCACTTATCTCTTGGCTCCAGCGCCACTGGGCGGCACAGCTTCCAGGACTTGTCATCAGCCCTTTTCCTCAGGTGGAGCTGGAAGGCATCTCCACAGCAGGTGGGGCTCTGATTCAGCACCTTGCCAGGGTATGGGCAAAACAGCTCTGGGGCTGGCAAAACTTGTTTTAGGATATTAGACAGACCTGCACCTCCCCCATGAGTTGCCTGTCATAATGCAGCCCCAACTTGGTTCTATAGATGAACAAAGCCACTGGTTGGGATTACTGCTTGGGCACTGCAGGCGTGAACTTGGTCTGCCAAGATCTTTGTGCTAGTTCTTGTAAGGCCCTCCCCTTTTCTCCATTACAGGTTTTTGGTGGCTGGGCCTTACAAATTTCTCTGTAATCCTTGTGGTGCAATATTAGAGTAGAGGCTCCCTATGAAGCGACTCACAATGCCGGCGGAGACTGGTTGTCCCCCTGGGTTCTTTTTTGCCACTGGAAGACCTGGAGGCTCAAAGGAGACCTCTACACATAATGCTGCCCTGTTCTGGGGGAGGGCAATGCAGTCAATATGTAGCCACTTCTCTTATCCTTCTAAGGCATTGTTTTGATCTTGGAGGCTCACAGTGCTTCTTTGGCCTCACCCTCGTGCGCTAGGATTCTCTTAGTGGTATCCTGTTCTTGAATAGATGCTACTTGTCCTTTTTGTGAGGAGGAACAAAATAAGAAACAATTTCTGTCATCGTCTTGGTAATGTCACACTAGTCATCCTATTCTTAATAAAGAAGCCTTCCCATGATTATGCATAGCAGTTTAGTTCCTTACGGTCTCTACCTCTCCTGTCTGACAAGGCCTGGGGCACTACTGTTGCAAAATCATAAGGCATGTGAAAGTGATATTTCTCAGTGAAAGAGCTAGCCAGACAAAAGAGGACTTTTGGCTCAACTCCACAGCAATAGGTGCAAACAGCAGGCAGCTTGTGTACTAGTTTTTTTGTTGTTGTTTTGTTTTCCTGGCTTTTTTTTTTTACAGCCAGCAATGGTCCTATGGTAGAGACCACTGCTACCTAGCAGTAGGTAACTGGTGAAAAGTGTTAAGTGGAAGGTCATTCGGGAGAGCTGAATAGGGTGACTGGCTGCCTCAGGACAGTGCACATAGAGTCTGGATTTTACAAGCAGAGAAAGATGCTATCTTTCATGGAGAGAAAATATGATCATTATTCTTGTAGAATAAAGAATAATAGAGAAATTTAGGGGTGCAATTTGTTGAAAGGTAAGGGCAATCTCTTGCCATTCTTGTCTGGTTCATCTTAGAGTACTGCATCTGTGCTCACCCTCACAAACTGGGGTGAAATAATCAGGTGTCATTACTTTGGGGCTGCCATTGTAGAGAACCAGGGTGTGATCCTGGGTCAGACTATAGTGAACCTAGTAATTGATATTTTGCCTAGGGGCTCCCAATGTTTTCTTTGGCTTCATTTTAGGCCTCATGGCCCTTTCCCTACTTGATGTAGCATCTTGGTGCTGGTACAAACCTCTGAGGAGGTTCTTTGGGTTTTAATCACAGATACCTTAGATTGGGCCTAAACACACAACTAGAATGACTGTGTTTTTAGAATTCCTGGCTCCTAGAAGTTCTTGGGATCTGTCAATGGCCTAGAAGAAGAGGCAGGTAATCATGTAGATTTAACCTGCATTGTATAAGATTGCTGCTACGGTGTGTGTGTGTGTGTGTGTGTGTGTGTGTGTGTACACAAATATGTTTTGCAGGACCCTTGCCTATATAAAAAATTTGAATAGCCAAAGTTAGCATACTAGCCTAATTCTGGAAGGCCTGTGAGAGCAATCACTTACAGGGCTGACATCATGGAATTTAAGACAATCATGAGAACAGAATCAGCCCCACAGAGATGAGTCTCTTCCAGCATCTAGTCAGTTCTATGAGCTAGGGAAGGGAAAGTGCCTCAATTGGGAGCAATGGACACAGGGTGACATGCCAAGTCCCCATTGGGAGATTGGTAGAGCCCTGCCCACTCGCTTGGGCCCTAAAGGCATGCTGGGGTGCAGACCATAATCTTTGAAGTTTTGGGTTCTGGAAGCTCACAGAAGGGCCAGGGACACAAAGGAGTTTCATGCCTCCTGAAGGGGCATGGTCAACAGCCACTTGTATTCGGTGCAGGTTCTTCCAGGAGGTAAAAGAGGCAGATCGTTCAAGATGTCTTGCGGTTTGCCACCTCCTTGTTACTATGGTAAAATGGTCTGTTGGGAGCAGAGATTGACATGATTGGCTGAAAGAGGAGCTTTCCTTGCTTAGATTTGTAGATTTTTCTGTCTAAGTCTTGATTGTCGGGACTGACAGCTTCTGTGGGAATGCAAGAAGGACAAGTGAGGGAGAGGTCTGCCAATCTCTTCAGATGATGTATCACAGTATTTTAGTGGTGTTGAAAATAAAGTAATTTTAATCATCATAGTTTCTGTTTTAAAAAAAGCTGTGGCTCTGAAAACCATCTGTCAGTTCATTCTCAAAGTGGAGAGAGAGCAGAAATGTAGCAAAATGAGTGGAAAAGTTAACAATAAAAAAGAGAAAATAAATGGAAGGAAAGAAAGAATAAGATTTTTTAAAGCATGCAGGAAATAGATCAGAATCCAGATGATAATAGAGCTTAAATTTAACAGAAAAATCCAAATGCCTGCATGGTGTCCGTTAAGCATGGGACTTGGTTTCAGCTTAGTTGTGATCTCAGGGTCATGAGATTGAGCCCCAGGTTGGGCTCCACACTGAGTGTGGAGTCTGCTTGAGTTCCTTTCTTCCTCTCCTTCTGCTCCCCCACCCTAGAATAGATAAATCTTAAAAAAAGAAGAGAAAAGAAAAGAAAACATGTTTGAGATAATTTGGATAAAGCCATTTTTCCTTTCATGAATTTCAATTCTTGGATCAAGTAATAACTCCAGACCATCCCCATCCCATACATCACTGTGTTTGTGCTCACAGGGGGCTCTTGTATTTTGTTTCCTTCTCTCCTGCTCTATCTTAACAAGAGATCTCCTGCTAACTTGCAAAACTAATGGATTTTTTCCATGTCCTTTGCTTTTATATAAGAACAAAAATGGATTTCCTTTCTTGCTTCCTATGGTGCTGCTACCACAGATTACCATTTAACAGAAGATGCTTGCTTACGGCTCTCATTGCTGGTTAAATGTACAGTTTATTGCCACACATATTACATACTTTCTGATGTCTGAGACTTCTGCCTCCAGAGTGACCAGCATTTTCTATTTCCTCTTTAGCTCTAGTTCTTGGATTAAGAATAATGCACATGGTTTGCCCATGTTCATGGACTTTCTATAAGTTTCTTTGCTGTTCTGAGAATGTTTTGTCATATACCAGGTTTGTAATTTTAAAGGGTGAGCACATTATGAATTAATATGTGGGTTTTTAAAATTTTAGTTCAGCATTGTCTTGCTCTGTGAAAAAAGAACAAACCTAGGCCATAGTTTATTCTACCTGAGCTATCTTTTAAGCACAATAAATTGTCTTTTTTTTTAAAAAAAAGTTTTTATTTAAATTTCAGGTAGTTAACATACAATGTAATATTAGTCTCAGGTGTATAGTATAGTGATTCAGCACTTCCATACAACACCCAGTACTCATCTGAATCATTTCCTTTTCAAAAACCTTTAAAACTGGGCATGGTGCTTATTTTGTTGTATTATTCCAAAGATTATAAGGTCTAGAGGGGAGGCAAGTTACTTTTAGATCAGCTGAACCAATAACTGCCTTTAGTGAATTTCTTCGTTCTTTAACAAAAAGTACCAATTATACTAGCAACTGCCTTCTTTATCAATAGAGCGTTGGTTGCATGTTAATATTCTTGGTTTATTCTCCAGTTTTAAAATGATATAAGACCAGAATCCCTATTTCTAACTTAACTAATTTGCTAAACAGTTTCTTGAAATATATTGCTAGAATAAACTTATATTTTGTTTGTGCCTGAAACAAAATAGAATGATTCTTCACCAGCATCTAGTGAAGAAGAATGATTCTTCATCAGCTTGGGCTTCTATGTCAAAATACCATAACTGGGTGCCTTGTCCACAACACAAATTTATTTGTCATAGTTCTGGAGGCTGGGAGTTCAAGATCATGGTGCCATCACTGTCGGGTTCTGGTAAGAGCTCTCTTCTGACTTGCAGATTGCCAATTCTTCTTGTCTCTTGATGTGGTAGAAAGAGAGGGAGCTAGCTCTCTGGCCTCTTTAATGGCCTTAATTCCATTTATGAGAACTCCACTGTCATGACCTAATCAGCATCCAAAGACCTCACCTCCAAACACATTACATGGGGATTAAATCAAAACCTACGAATTTTGGGAGGGGGAGTGGAGAACACACATAGTCAATCCATAACAATCAGTATATATTGAGGAATTTTTCTTCCTTGAAATTAGCTTTATTATTCATTTGGTAATGAAATGTGTTTTCCACTTTTTAGTTACAGAGCTTATCAGGAATACATTTTATTTCATTTCACGAACTTAACGTATTTATGACCTCATTGTTTTGGCTGAGTCTCATATGGTGTTGTGTTAAGGAGTTGTTTTTTAAAGAAGTTAATAGTCTCAAATGGGACTGAGAAAACTATTCCCTGAAACACTTAAACTCTGAAACAAGGCACCCAAAATGTCTCTAGGAGAGTAGGATAGGGAGTTTAATCAACCTTGAAGAGTAAAAGCTATTTTATTTGATGAAACCTGTTATCACACTTGCTCACATCCTTTAGTTGTGTGCTAATTCCATCAGGAAGAATTGTTTTCTATAACAAAGCCATTTCCAGGTAATTACTCCCATTCAAGATAATTGCTACCACTTGGTGAGTATGCATAGGGTCCTGCAAGTTTCTCATGTGATATTTCATTTAATTCTCACAAAATCTCTGAGCTTATTGTTATTATTTCTGTTTACCATATGAGGTGTCTATTTAGGCAAACTAAGTGATTTTAAGAAGTTTCCACATTTAGTGAGTGGCAAGGTGAAATGTTTGACCCTAATGCTTGTGTGTGTAGTAGTTTTGAAACATGTTATTTTGGTTGTGTACCCAGAAAGTAATTTGGAAGCCCTATGTACTCCTTGACACCTTACATTGTCACCTAGAGTTTTTATTATATGTTTAAATAGTTGCAAAAGATGTCATTTCTGGCACATGATAAATCTTGTTATAAAAGGTTATATTTAAAAATATATATATTTCTTTTGATATATATTAAAAGAACTATAACCTGTGTGATATAAATAGCAGAGATCTGATATGTCTCACATATATATTTTTTAAAAAGTCATCTTTGGAGTTTTAATTTTACATTGCTGTTTTCTTCTCTACCCCATTCCACCCCCAGGAACTCATATTTTCATTCTACAATTCCATGGATTTTTATCCAATTATATATATGCTTTAAAATCTTTCATTGATGGTTTTATACATTTCATCAAAAAATACATATTTAAACTGAAATTGATTTAATTTTTGTGCATGACAAATTCTTTAAGCCATATAAGATTTCATTTGGAGTGGGTTATCACTATAATTATTAGTACATAATTTAACAAATAACATGAATATGATATTTTGACAAAATAATGATTAATACAAGAGGTACATATTTTTATTGAGAATGCATCATTTAATAAAATATATGAGGCTTTTCCCCTAATTATAGAATTGCTTATAGGTGAATATTATTTATTGTTAGAATGAGTGAGTTCAGAACCAATTTTGATCCTTTTCTTGGTTTTTATGTATGTGACCTTAGACCTGTTTTACACATAAATAGTTGGGAATGAAGCACTCTTGAACCCCTTCCAACTGTATGTCAAATACCTCATGTGATCTATCACAGCAACTACTTTTAATAAATAACAATTAAAATAAATTTTTTAAAATCTTGTTGAAAGCAAAGAATTAGAAACTTCTTGACTATGACTTATTTGTTGCCTTATCATTAGGTTCTTATACACTTTTAATTCCTGGGTATTATACAAAAATCCTCCATAAAAAATCCTTTATCAAGAAATATCAAATAACTATTCCTTCTTCCTTGAACTCTTTTTACTTACGAGCAGCTTGCTTAAACTGATACACTCAGGAAGTGTTGGGAACAAGGCAAAATTATTACTTTCAAAACACCTCTGTCAGCATCATTATTTTTTTATGAACTGCTTTTATTGTGTGCTTTATAAATATTTTTATCAAAATCTTGGTGCTACATATTTAGCTTGTCAATATATAGATAACAAGTATGCTGTACCATGGTTAGCTGAGCTGGTTCTCCTTGTCTAAACAATAAGCAAACATATTTATATTAGTATCCATGACCACCATTTCATTTCCTAATTCTTTTGGATTATGGATCTGTGCTTTTTATGGAAGAGGAGAAGCAACATTTGAGTTTAAATTGTTTTGATGATTCTGCCTCAAATTATCTTTGAAGCTTCTTGGTGAAACTTTTGATTTCATGTATGTTTACTACTTCAAGAAATAATGTACTGAAACTCTAAAATTATTAAGTAAACACTGACACATAGCCTCTACAATGGCTCTGTGCCTAGGTATCCCCCCACCCTCTGCTTTATTCTTCCCCAGCTGTACCACTGATTGTGTTTCTACCCATTTGTTCTTTGATTCAGAGAAGTCTGACATCAACAGTCTCCATATCCTGCAGATTGGGAAGGTGAATTCTAGAGGGATGTTCCTGACAGCACCATTCCCCTAAACAAAAAACTTTGGAATTCATAGGATTTGTTTATGGAAACTCCTCTATAGTTTAGTGTTTTCACTAGTTTTTTTTTTTTTTTTAGATTTTATTTATTTATTCATAGAGATGCAGGGGGAGAGAGAGAGAGAGAGAGAGAGAGAGGCAGAGACACAAGCAGGCTCCATGCTGAGAGCCTGACGTGGGACTTGATCCAGAGTCTCCAGATCACGCCCTGGGCTGCAGGCGGCGCTAAACCGCTGTGCCACCAGGGCTGCCCTACTAGTTTGTATTTTTAATTTGGTTACTTAACAAATGTCTATTGAATCATCCTGTGTACAAAGATTGGGGAAACAGCAGTAAACAAGTGAACAAGACACAGTGCCTGCCTTCAGGTAAGTTATACTATAGTGGGGAGTCAGATATGAAAGAACTAATTGTAACATTAATAATTCAGTACAGTTATGAGAACTTCTATGAATAAAAGACAATGAACATGCTATGAGAGCATGCAAAAGGAAGTTGATGTCTCATAAGAACTCAGGAAAGCTTTCTTGACTAAATGACATTTGGTCTAAGGGCTGAATAAGATGGTAGCTATAAACCATCTTAAGTGGGGGCTGTTGAAGCACAGGCACAAAGCTCCTAAGATTGATGAAACATGTTTAAAAAATTAAAAAGAAAGCCAGTGAATCAAGAAAGAAAGAGACATGGAAATGATCCAAGATGGGGCTGGAAAGGACGCAGTGGCCAGGCAGAAGCTTCCTTGTAGATTTTCATGATACTAGCCTTTATCTCAATGGCCATTGTAGAGATTTAAAGAAAGAGAGGAATAGTTAAATGTGCATTGAAAAAACATCACTCTGGGCAGGAAAGCAAGCCAGGACCCCAGCTGGAATGTTTCTGCAATGGTTCAAGAGAGAGGTGCCTTTCACTACAGTGGTTGCAATGGGTGTAGACAGAGTGAACACACCTAAGGGATTGTTAGGAGGGTAAGGGATACGATGTGCACAAGGGAAATATTCCACATGATCAAAGGAAATCTTAATATTAGTGACTGGAGCAGTGTATTGTGAACAAACCCCAATGCTTACTGGAAGAATTAGAGATGAATTTTTTCTTTTTGTCTTCCATCATCCTCTATCAGCTCTTCTTATTTTACATTAGAAAGCTGGCTGAAAAAAAAAAAAAAGAAAGCTGGCTGAGCAAAGGGATTAGATTTCCACTAAAATAATAATTTCCCACCAATTAATAGATCTATTAATTAAAAAAATCATTTTGACAACTCTCGCCTAAGCTGAGTGCTTTACTGGGATAGGCCCTGGGGCATGAAGGAGACTGGGTCTTGGTCTCTACCATTGGTATTCTTATCATCCAACCAGGGAGACCTGACCACAGCATCATGGTTCATGAAATACCATGGCCATTGAGGGGTTAATTATGAACAACATCCTGTGGGAGGCTTTGAGGGAATGAGGGTGGTATTGCATGGTTAAGAGAGCAGCCTGTGGGGATTCCTGGGTGGCTCAGTGGTTGGGCATCGGCCTTTGGCCAAGGGCATGATCCTGGAGTCCCGGGATCGAATTCCACATTGGGCTCTCTACATGGAGCCTGCTTCTCTCTCTGCCTATGTCTCTACCTCTCTCTGTGTCTCTCATGAATAAATAAATAAAATCTTAAAAAAAAATAAAATCTTAAATATATATATATATATATATATATATATATATATATATATATATAGAGAGAGAGAGAGAGAGAGAGAGAGAGCAGGCTGTGGAGTCTGGATTTGAATTTGGAAATACCCAGTTACTAACTTCCTCCTCTATGTTGCCTAAACTATCTCATCTAAAACATGGGAGTAATAACAGTAGATTATTTGTAGGTGGTTCCAACAATCATATGGCACGATACATGAAAATCATCAATTGGCAGAGAATTTAGCAGTGGCTTAAGGAATACAATAGATTTAGCTGTTCTATTGTTCTAGGAGAGGGGCTGCTTAGCCCTCTGAGTCAGGAAAAGTTATATAAACAATGCTTTATATTATCTTTAAAGGGTATATATAGCTGACCTTTAATACGTTTGTGCTTAAGGAATAAATATGTTTTATGACAATAAAATAATTTATCAAACATTTATTACATGTTAGGTATTGCTGTGAATATTATAAAGATATTTTCTGGGGGGCTTGGGTGGCTCAGTCTGTTAAGTGTGTGCCTTCAGCTCAGGTCATGATACTGGAGTCCTGTGATGGACCCTGGGACTGGGTCCTCTGCTCAATGGGGAGTCTGCTTCTCTCCATGCCCCTCACCTGGCTCGTGCTCTCTCTCTCTCACTCACTCTCTCTTATATAAATAAATAAAATCTTAAAAAATATATATTTTCTAACTTCACTTTTGTCTGACCCTAAGAAGGAAATCCTATTACTATGCCTCTTTCACAGAGTCCTGAGGTCCCACAATATCAATTACTTGCCCAAGATTACATAGTAAATTGCTAACCTGAGATTTAAATCCAGTTCATACCAAATCAGAGCTTTGACCGTAACTTTTACAAGTTTACAAGCTTCTTTACCTAAATGTGCTGTTGAATTCAAACAAGATTTTGCTTATTATGTATTTGCTCAATCAATAGATATTAAGAATACATTGCTATAGAGTCCATAAAATATGGCATTTTATCAGAACATTTTTATTTTAAAAATACTTATAGGAAATAAATACATAAAGGAACAAGCAATATATTATTGTTTATTCCAATTCTCATAGGTGATTATTGTATACATTTTGCTGTAAATACCTTCAGACATTCCCCCCAATGCACTGATGTATCATATGTATGTATATAAACCTATATTTTTATGATAAAAAATGAACGAGATCACCCTGCACATGTTTTTACCTACTTTTTCGTTAAGGATATGGGGATCCCTGGGTGACTTAGAGGTTTGGCGCCTGCCTTTGGCCCAGGGCACGATCCTGGAGTCCTGGAATCGAGTCCCGTGTCAAGCTCCTGGCATGGAGCCTGCTTCTCCCTCTGCCTATATCTCTGCCTCTCTCTCTCTCTATGTCTATCGTGAATAAATAAGTAAAATCTTAAAAAAAAAGAAAAAAAAGATATGTTATAAAGCTCTTTGCACATTTAGTATGGTAGTGTAGAATAGTTGATAGCAGATAGTAAAGCCTCAGCAAATGTTGGTGGTCACTGATTGTTATCATCATTATCTTGAAGAATTGCCCTCAGCTGGGCTGTAATAATTTGATATTCCAACACAGCAAATTCTTTTCAGCGCATCTCCAGCAAATGTGGCTTCTATTACTTGATTCTTGTGTGTGTGCTAATCTTGAAGATTAAAGAATGGAATCATGTTGTTTTATTTCACACTTATTTTATGCTAATGAGGTGAAACATTAGTCATTTGTATTTTTTTGAATTTTTCCTCACTTGTTTTCTTATTAGTTTATTATTTACTTATTAGTATATAAGAACTCTTTATCTTATGTTTTAAATAAGTTTTTATTTTAATTCCAGGTAGTTAACATACAGTGTTATATTAGTTTGATGTGTATGATATAGTGATTTAACACTTCCATATATGACTCAGTGCTCATCATGGAGTGAACTTCTTAATCCCCATCACCTATGTCACCCTTCTCCACACTTACTTCCCCTCTAGTGACTACCAGTTTGTTTTCTATAGTTAAGAGTCTTGGTTTGTCTCCTTGTCTGTTTTTCCTCCTTTGCTTGTTTGTTTTGTTTCTTGAATTCCACATATGAGTAAAATCATATGGTATTTGTCTTTCTCTGACTGACATTTCACTTAATGTAATACACTCTAGTTCCATCCATGTTGTAGCAAATGACAAGATGTTATTCTTTTGGGGGACTGAGTAATAGTCTGTTGTATACGTGCCACATCTTCCTTACCCATTCATCAGTCAATGGACACCCGGGCTGTTTCACAGATAAAATGATGCTATAAACATCAGGGTGCATGTATCCCTTCAAATTAGTATTTTTGTGTTCTTTGGGTAAATACATAGGAGTGTGATTGCTGGATTGTAGGGTAGTTCTATTTTTAGCTTTTTCAGGAAATTCCATACTGTTTTCCCCACTGGCTGCACCAATTTGCAGCAACAGTACAAGAGGGTTCCACTTTCTCCCCATCCTTGTCAACACCTGTTGTTTTTTGTGTTGTTGATTTTAGACATTCTGACAGGTGTGAGGTGAAATCTTATTGATCTTTGATTTGCATTTTCCTGATGATCTGTGATGTTGAGCAACTCTTCATGCCATCTGTATGTCTTCTTTGGAAAAACATCTATTCATGTCTTCTGCCCATTTTTAAATTAATTCTTATGTATTAAGTATATATTGCAGATATTTTCACCAGCTTGTGATTTAATTTTTACTTAGGCTTCAGTCTTTTCTCCTAAATAAATAAAAATAAGCAGTTAAATTTATCAATCATTTTTTACTGTGACTTTTCTCTTTGGCATTTTACAAATAAATATTTTATTCATATCTATATAATATAGATATGAAGTTTTTGACATTACAAAGGAGGATCCATTCTTTGAGATTTGGGAACCATTGGTATAAGGAATAAAGTCACACAGAGCATGGTTCTGTATTTCTGGTGTCACTGGCAGAGCCTGAAAGTCTCTGCTTTGGGAAGAACTTCAGTGGCTGGTGAATGTTTAACAAGTTTTTTGCTTGTCAAATTTTGAAAATATGAATTTTTTTCTTTTTGTTTTTGTCTGCTTTTCTTGAAAACACAGAACATCTTGTCTTTCCACTTGTAATGCACTACAAAGTAGAATACATCAAAAGGGGCTCATCTTCATACTAAAGATGGGACTTCTGGGGCACTGGGATTAGTTACATTTTTGAAATTGTTTAGTTAATACAATCAGAATAATAGCAATAGATCAAATATTTCCAGAATACTGTGTTCATTATGAAGAAGAAAATAGTTTGTTTATATTTAGCACAATATTAAGTATGTAAATAATGAGCATGTCTTGCTGTAGCCTTGAAAGAATACTGACCAATGTGCAGATGAAATTCTTGCTTATTTTATGAACTTAGTTTTAAATATTGGCTATTTGAGTTCTGTGTTAAAAGCCCTTTTAATTACTTGCTTTTATTGTGAAATTCATCAATCAAAAGAGATGTATGCTGTATGAATACTTTAATCCCACATTTAACTTAGAACCTTTTTTTTTCTCTTCTAGCTTTTGTTTCTACTAATTTGACATCATACATGGCTACCGATGGCAATTCTCTTGTAAGTACCTTTCGAGACACTGTGCACTTAAATATTAAGTATCAGTTTGATGAATGAGTAAAAAATAAACAAGTTGATCTTAAGTTGGGCTAGCTATTTATTGTCCTCTGTTTCCTTAGCCACCATGGAATTAAATGATCCTTTTGTAAGGTTTTGGGGTTTCTTAGGATCACAAAACATTTAAGACTACTAGCTATTTGCTTTTATTTTTTAGAATTTTTATTTATTTATTTATCTATTTATTTATTTATTTATTTATTTATATTTTTTATTTATTTATTTTTTTGCTATTTGCTTTTAAAGATAAAAAACATAACCATGATTTTAACAGATGGTATATAAGTAACGATGGTACTTAAGTATCTCTGTGTTTTAGGTCAACTATGGTATTAGCACAACCTCTCGTGCAACTTCTATTGGGAAACATTCTGCGAATAATTATGCTGACATTATAGACTTTTTAAAAAATAATTTTACAGCTATAAATTTGCCTATTTAGGAAAGTCAATTGAGCCAAGTATACTTATGATGCAGGAAAAAATACAAAGTTGATATAAATAGCATATTTCTAATAGAAGGGGATGTGAGGTAGTGTGGGATTGTATGGTGTGCGTCTTTTGGCAAATCTAATGACCTCATGTTGGGTGCATAGGATAGTTTATGGAGTAGAGCCAAAAGCAGAATCAAAAGTGGGGAAGTAGAGACTTCCTGAAAATAGAGGACATGGCCAGTGGTTTTCTGATGCAAATTAGGAAATGGTTGTCAAGGCAGGTTGAAGGAACATTGATGGAGAAATTGAACTAGATAGCGCCTGGAAGGGACACCTTACTAAAAAGCAGAGCAGCTGATTAATGATTAATTCTCTGGTTTGTTAACAATTTCATATCCCAGAAATAGAGAAAGCAATGAGAGCACTTTGAGTCTGATGTTAATTCTAAATGAGGAGGAAAAACTTGTTAATAATGAAAATGGTAGAAACTTTGGGAGACAGGACAGCAGGAAACTAAAAATGAAAACACAAATTATAGTCAGTTATGTACCCTGGGAAATTTGCCATCTAAAAATTGCAGAAAAGGACAATATGATCCCTTGGATGCAAATGGGTAGGTGTTGTTTGATCATAGAAATGTGAATAATCACTATGAAGATAAAGAAGAAGAAGAACTAAGAACATAAGTGCAGCTGCAATTGGAGCCTTGGCTGGGAATAGATATGAAGGCATATGCACAGGGTGTTAAAGGAGGTTCCTGTGGTCAAGGGCAAAAGAAGGTGGGTATACAGATTTGTAAAATAGGAAGACTATAGTGTCCAATGTTTATAAAAGTTTTTTTAAAAAATGCATATGATTATAAGGACATGTGCTTGTGTTATATGGAGCAAAGAAATGGAAAAGGAGAACTGGAATGATTGGATCCTTGAGAAGAGTAATGGAGGGGTTAATGTTTATAATGCTTGCCTATTCTACTGAAAGAATGTGGTGTTCCAACTAGAAGGAGTTCATCATACATGTTTAAGAAGAAATGGAAACTATGATAATAAGAGAGCACCTAAGTACTTTAATGAACTCATTCATTCATTCATCCACTCACTCACTCATGCGTGCATTCATTCATTCAAACATTCATTTAATGTTCACTGATTCCTCTCCTTGACTCTATCATGTATCAGCCATTGTACTAGGTGGGACCTGGAGATGGAAGTATGATTTAAAAAAAGTTGAAATCTCCACATCTTAAGGCAAACAAAATTCTGGCTATTAGAACAGACTGCAGGTGTGATAACCAAAGGGCTAACATACCACCCATGTAATTCCTAATCAAGAGCCAGTACTGCTGTAATATGTAACCTGTTTCCCCTTGGACCTGGGTGCAGGTGGATTCTGTCCTTATTGGTGGGAACTCTAGCTGTTTATGGATCTTTCTCATTTCCTGAGACAGCCTCCACACCAAGACTCAATCAGCTCTACTCTCCTTGTATGCCTATTTACCTGTTATTTTTATCTCCTAGTCACCAGTGTCTAGGTGGTATAGCTAAATATTTCTCTTAAGCATTTCTTCCAGCTGCTTTTCAGTGGTTACCCTACTTTATATTTCCATTCAGAAAATTAGTTCAATTTTCTGCTGTCATTTGTTCTCTAAATAAAATGTAGCACAGGAGACCTATTTTTATGCTAGGTAGTTTCAGAATGCTTGACACATTTGACCTAATCACATCCCGAATTACACTTCATTTCCACTAACCTAACATTTATTGAACTTTATGTGCTGAGCACTCAGCTTGGTAATATGACAAGGAGCTTACATCTGAAGGGGGAAAGCAATACTTTTAAGGTACTTTTGTTGATCCTGACCTGATAGTTATTGAGGTTGGTACGATAAATGGTTCCAGTAAAACTGTTCAAGAAACTAGATTTTAAGCATTTGAAATTTTATTATGCGTGTGGTAGAAGAGCATTTTTTCCTGTTAAGCTGAGTTGTTTGTTATCTGATAGTAGCCTTTTCTCTCTGAAGGAAACAGCAGACTTTTCAGAGCCAAAGCTTCACATAGGACTGAAGGTATTAACTCACCAAGTTCTATTGGTTGTACCTTCTTAATATTTCGCCTTCACAGACATGCCCTTCTATCTGCCCACTGGGCTTCTTGCCTCTGCATCTGCCCCTCCAGTCCACTTGCCATGAGACAGCCAGAGTGAACTTTCTTAAATGCAGATCTGATTGTGCTACTAGCCTGCTGACATCTGTTCAGTGGCTTCCTATTGGCTTTTGGATAAACCTTATAGTTTCAAACATAACTTATTAGGCCCCACACAATGTGACTTCACTACTCCAAATGTGTTTATGCCCTAACACTATGTGGTCGGTGCCTTTAGGCTCACACCTGCATTTCTGTATTAGATCCTCTCATGCTCAGGTCTTCATCTTTCAGGCTTTTGTTTTTATCAATTTGTAGGGTACCTACCCTGATTCCCCAGTTGTAGGTAATAGCACTTCCATGTGGACCTCATTATCCTTGTTCAACTTCCTCTTTTCTGTGTTTGACTGGAAGCTGTGTGAGAGCTTGCTTGCCACTGAATTGGCACCAAGTAATTGTGCAAAAACTGGTGGTTAAATAAACAAAAGTCATAATTTACCCAACTGTAGCCTGAAAGAAAGAATTAGCATAATCATCTTTAAGATCCAGGTCATAGCTTGCTGGGAAATCTTCAACATAATGATTAGCTATGGTATAATCCCTAAACATTTCTAAGAATCTACTTGTGTAGTCCTTGATATTTAGAAGCTTTTCCATACATCATGCTATGGTGATAACAAAGTATTATATGCTAAGTCAGTATCGCTAGTTTTCTTCTACGATTGGTTTCTCACTAAACTAAAGAAATAGATGAATAAAAGCATAAACAAATAACAACCACATTTACGAATCTTAAAGGCTTAATTAAGAAAGTTCTCTATTCTCAGATTGTAGTAACCACATTTTCGTTAAGAATGGAGAATGGCCTTGAAGATGAGAGGCTCAGAAGGAATGGGACACACTGTCATGTGTAATTCTTTTACCTAAAGCTTCTGAGAATTCTTACTTTCAGGGATGGCTCTCATGAGAAAGCAGTGGTCAGCTTTGATGAAAACTTTATGATAGTGATTTCTCAAAAATTATTTTAAATAAAATCAATGTAATAAATATTAATAATAGATATATTAATATAACTTATTATTAAATAAAATGTTAAGGGAAAACATTTTCTGGAAACAAAAGCCTCTGCTTATAAATCATGGTAACTGGGCTCAGCTTCCAGGCTCAATGAGGACAAGCTTATTGAGTAGGAAGCGACATTCATTTCTGGAGCTGTGGCTGGGTTATCTGATGTTTCCTGGACTACCATCTGTGGGATGGCTGGTCTGACAGCAAACTGGTCTGTGTTGTGTATACTTCACAGGAAGGCTCAGTATTTAGTCCTTACAGATCATGTATTGTCTGGTCGTTGTGTACTGTGTGCAGTGAACTGCCTGGACATGATTCTGGCCCCCATGGGAAAGCTGCCTGCCCCTACCTCCAATTCCATGCCTATGGTGTGTGTCTCAGGGATGTGGGGATAATTCAGGAATGAAGTGAGGAATTTGTTTTTCACATTTTTTGATCAACAAGGGAGCTCACCTTTTGGCAGCTTGTTTTTTTAGGCCACATGCACATCACGCTATGTTAAGATGGCTTTGCCAGTGCTGTGGTGTACAAGCCTGAGGTGCAGATCAAACCTGGACAGCTGTTCAACATATTTGCTATTCCAAGTAGGACTTCAGCAGAGCAGTGCCTGACAGCTGCTTGGGGAGAGGATCATTGGGTAGGGTCTTGTGAGCTACCACTGGAAAATTTCTATCCCTGCTGCTAGACCTCCTCCTTCACCCCATGCATTCTTGTGTCTTTGATTTTAGTTTCTCAGTATGTGGACGATATGGTTAAAACAGGATGCTGGAGAGAGCTGTGAGATTTTTTGAGGAAATGGTATTCTAGATAAAAGTAGAGATTTGGTCAATACAAGAAAATATCAAGGGTCAGCACTCCAGGTGAGTTCAAATTGAGTGTCAATCAATACCAGAAGCTTTTCTCTATGCATGTACTGCTCTGAGGGTGAGAAAGGTATTGGAGCAATCTCAGGTTGCTTAACACTGCTGTTGTTATTTAGTAGAGGCATTTTTCAGCTCTGAGTAATCAGGCAGTAGATGGCTTTCTGGATATTTGTTAAATCTCCACTTGTGCCAGGACTACTAGTAAGACATCATATGAAATAAAAATTGATATAAGACACAGTTAATCTTTTGATATTTATTAAGTGCTCCCCATGTGATACACATTGGGCTAGGTGCTAGCTTTTGAAGTCAGGACATGTTCAAGAACATTAATTCTACCTGGAAGTCTTGGTCAGTCATTGAATCTAAAGAGGGTTGTAGTCATTCAGCTACAGAGCTGATAAAATATTTGAAAACTTTAAGAAGCAACATGAGCAG